AGGAAGGAGCAGAAGAAGATAAGTGTAAAAATAAAATTAACCGAGGGAGGATAGCCACACCAGAAAGCAAACAAAAGGTTAGTGTTGCATGCAATAATCTTCGTTTTCTTGAGCTCTGCCTTAAGTAGCAATTACAAGGGCTATAATGTTAATGACACGTATAAAAAAACTAAATAAACATTATTTTGTATGGCAAGAATTAATGTTGTGCCAGAATCCTTTCCTATTCCTTTTTGCTCATCTCCCCGATTACCTATTGCCACATTCTTCTTAATTGATTCCACGTCCTTCTTAATTGATCGTAGTTAAGTCTTATAATCTCTACTTCTTGCCATACTAACTACATTTTCTTCCGAACTGGTGCATTTAGTAACATCCACATGATCAGATCGTCTCAATCAGTTCTCTCTATACAGTTCTTTCTGTACAACATTTGTTCTTGTTATTTCTATGTGTGTGTACATATATATGTATATATACATATATATACATATATGTATATATATGTATTTACATATATATACATATATATACTTATATATATATCAGAATAATGGAGAAGAGCTGACATCTCTTATCTACCATGAGTTGCAAGCTCTATGACATGTGAGCCCCTACTAGTCACATCGCGATGTGACTAGTAGGGGCTCACATGTCATAGAGCTTGCAACTCATGGTAGATAAGAGATGTCAGCTCTTCTCCATTATTCTGATATATATATAAGTATATATATGTATATATATGTAAATACATATATATACATATATGTATATATATGTATTTACATATATATACATATATATACTTATATATATATCAGAATAATGGAGAAGAGCTGACATCTCTTATCTACCATGAGTTGCAAGCTCTATGACATGTGAGCCCCTACTAGTCACATCGCGATGTGACTAGTAGGGGCTCACATGTCATAGAGCTTGCAACTCATGGTAGATAAGAGATGTCAGCTCTTCTCCATTATTCTGATATATATATAAGTATATATATGTATATATATGTAAATACATATATATACATATATGTATATATATGTATTTACATATATATACATATATATACTTATATATATATCAGAATAATGGAGAAGAGCTGACATCTCTTATCTACCATGAGTTGCAAGCTCTATGACATGTGAGCCCCTACTAGTCACATCGCGATGTGACTAGTAGGGGCTCACATGTCATAGAGCTTGCAACTCATGGTAGATAAGAGATGTCAGCTCTTCTCCATTATTCTGATATATATATAAGTATATATATGTATATATATGTAAATACATATATATACATATATGTATATATATGTATTTACATATATATACATATATATACTTATATATATATCAGAATAATGGAGAAGAGCTGACATCTCTTATCTACCATGAGTTTACTAGTTTTTACACACGTGCAATGCACATGATTTAATATCATGATTAAGTATTTTTGGCAGTTTATGCTCATTTTTTTCTTTAAACTCTTACATCCCAATTATTTTTTTATGTTTGTTTAAATGGGATACACCCAATTTAAATTTTCATGTTGATATTTGAATTGATTAAAAACAAATATAATTTAAAAATAATTTAAATTTTCATATTATTTTTGACCGATATGAAACTAAGCTTTATTTGAGAAAGTATAGTATTGCAAAGTAAAAAATATTAAAATAGTGTTATACAAGGAAGGTGAATATTTTAAACCAATATGGCAAAATGATTGATTTAAAGTATGTTAAAACGATACAAAATAGAATATGAAGTTTATTCCTAATCATTGATAGACTTCATAAAAAAATATAAATTAAAGATTAATGCTAACTCTAGTATACTTTTATATGATAAAAACATCCACATAAGAATATAAAAGTACTGAAAAAATTCATGAAACTCCCTTCTAAAGATTCCTAATTTCACTCAAAATAATTAAACTATTCTATAAAATATTCATAAAATATTGTTTTTATTTCTTCTATTTTATTTTTTATTGAGTTAAGATCAATCCTTCTTCAGGTTTATCATTTATCATTTCTCGGGCAATTCTAGAGTATTGTCTTCATCATCTATATCAATTGTGACATCAGGCTAATTTTGTATTTTTTATGTTATTATCTTTCTTGGGCTCGTTAAATTTTTATCATCTTATTTAACTTTACAAAGAAGTCAAAAGTACTTATGATGTTCAACACAAACTGCTCAAAATATAGACTTTGATTTTTTTTCTATTTCAATGAGAATAAATATTAATTTCATATATATAAAATTCTTTGTGTTCCTAATTTATTACTTAAATAAATTAGAAGCTATTACTTTATTTTCCTCTAAAATGAATTCTTCTGATGTGCATCCAATAAGAATTTTTGTTATTTTAATAATATTACCTTTGCTCTATCCCTGTCATTTTCCATAAAGATCTAAACTAAATACCTGCATTATTCATTACCAATTTCTCTTAGATTATAATATTAATATTTAATTTGAAGAGCACAGTATGGAATTTATGAATACTTACTAATTTTTCTTATGTCTTCCATGGAGATTTTTTCTTTGATTAGGAAAAATTTATTAAATTATTTTTTAATGTAACTCATTCAGTGTTTCATTAATAGATGTCTTATGTTAATGCCAATTCAAGTGATTCATTGACGTTTTCTGAATTTTAGATTTATTTTCATTATTTTCCCATTTGCAATGGAAATAACTCAATTCTTTTAAAGTTATCCCTAAATATTCTAATAGTTTCTCCATTTGTAATTCCTTGTATTCTTTTACCCTATAAATATTATTAACGTTAAAGATTAAAGTTTCTAAATTAAAATAAATTAATGCTAAGGTATAATATTATAGTGTTTTATCATTTCTATGGATTTAAACATCTATCAATTAATGTTACGAATGTATTTTGGCTACCCCAACTTATTACTAAAATTATATGAATTAATTTAATTTATATAGTGCCGATAAATTTTTAATCTATAATATTTTTAAAAAATTTATCCATTAACCGGATGTTTTTAATCAATTCTTATTGTTTTTGTTTACCAGTATCAACTTAGACTATTCTTAGATGCTGAAAATGGATAGTAAATCCCTAAATTAGAAATTTTAATATATATATATATGAAAAATACCAAACAATTACACTTTTCTTTGCCAAGTTTTAAAATTTTAGCCCATTTTTGTGGTTTTGAACTTTGAGGGTGTGATTTTGTAATTTTTCTTAAAATTTAAAAAGAGTTTAAAAAAATTTTACTTTTAAGTTTTCGGCCCTAGTTGCTAAATTCCTATGCTTTCATGATCGTGGCATAGCGTAATTTTTAATGGACACACAGACAACCCCGTTAGTATATCTTGTTACTCTAAAAATTTTAAGCGCCGTGTCTTTTGCAATTATTAAAACTATAGCAATTAATTTTAAAAAATATTAAATTTCAGCGACGTCTACCCATCGACGAAATTTGATGTAGCTGCCTAGTTAAAAATTTTGAAAATTTAGAGTTTTATTTACAAATTTTTAAATTCTTGAAGCGAGTTTTTAAAAAGAATTTTAAGGCGTTAATTTCGCGGTAAATTTAATTTTTTTACGCGTGTCTAAGGGTAATATCTTGAATTCATCTTAGTATTTATAAATTTTTTAGAAATTTAGAGCGCGTGCGCTTTTTAAATTTTGAACTTTTGAATGTGTTTCTATAATTTTTGAGATATTGATGGCGTGCTTTATTAAAAAATTTAACAATTTAAATATCAAAAAAATTTTAGGCTGCTATCCATCGGTAATTTCTTGAATTTCATTCTGCTTTATTTGCTTAAGTTTTAAAATCTTTAGAATGTTTAATGCTGCTTAGTCTGTAATTTACAACTTTTGCAATGCGGAAACTGTTTACCTACTATCAATTTTTGAGACATTGACGTGTGCTTCAACTGCTAAATTTTAAATCTTTACAACACTGCAATGTTAATTTTTTAAAAAAAAATTTTCATATTTTTTATTTATAAGTATTTGAGACATTGCGGCATGATCTTTTATAATTTTGCCAACTTTTCAGCGCGGTCTTTTCTGCAATCTTTAAAACTTTTTATGGTCCTTTTTTTTTGCACATACTTCATGCTATTATAATATTGTTAATCTACTTGTAATTTGAATTTATCTTAAACAAAATTAATATCATTTCTCTTATCGTATTTATAATATTTTATTAATATCCATAGTTTTTTTTAAAATTTGCCTTAAGCCCCTAAACATGGTTCACATAGTGCATTAGGATAAGATATGATTAGGCATTAGGGCATAGATTAAGCATATAACATAAAATATTCAAAAAATATGTGCAAGGGGTAATATTGACCCATTGAAATTAGAATTTGATTATACGCCATAAGTAGTTTCAAACTATAAAAGGCGGCGTATATTGTCTAAAAAAAGATTTCCGAACTCGTGCTTTGAAAGGCAGAGCTCATATATGCACTCATGCATAATATATATGTATAATATTATATAATCTCTTCATATCTTGCATGGGCATCCCTTAGGCCTATACATTATATGCCCGATAGAAAGTTTGGTGGATGCGCCTCCACTATTTAACATTAATAATTTCTCTCTCTCTCTCTCTCTCTACTCTCTATATATATATACTATACTTATATAATTATATATATATCATATATATATATATATCATATAATACTATATATAATATATATATATAATTATACATTAAGCATATATATGTATGTAATGTATAGCCATGCTAATTTCCCAAGCTTGCCCTAAACAGACTCTAACCTTTGCTTACCTGCACAGCAAGACCCAAATGTAGGCTTACTAGTTTTTTCTCGTGTTATCATGAATTTCCAGTTATGCCTAAGCATTAGGTTTCTGCCATCTTCTTCGCCCTTTCTTTTGTGTTCTTCTAATATTTCTTTCTTCTTTTATCCACTCGCATATATATACTATATAGATATATAATATATATATATATATATATTATACTATACTATATACTATTATATACTATATCAGTAAAATATATATATATATATATATATTCATATCTTGCCCATGCTATCCCTAGGTATCATCAATTGCTATAGAAAGACTTTAGTGGACTAGTCCACTTAAGTGACAAACAAGAATTTCCTCTCTCTCTCTTTCTATGTATGTATATATACATATACATATATATGTATGTATGTATAACATGTCTAATTCCAGTTGCTAAACAGACTCTTAACCTTGCTACCTGCACAGAAGCACAATGTACTTGCTAGTTTTTTCTCGTGTATTCATGAATTTCCAGTTGCTAAGTATTAGTTCTTGCCATTTCTTGCTTTCTTTTGTTTCTCTAATATTTCTTTCTTCTTTTCCTTCATCCTTTTTTCTTAGTTTTAGGATTGTTTTTTGTGATGAAACTACTATCCTGTGGAATTGAGGATATGGTGTCAAACCTTCCACATTCTAACCGAAAAATGAAAAGAACTGTAAAAAATAAATAAATAAATTAACCAACTGAGCATAAACAGCCACACCACAAAGCAAATGAAAAGGTTAGTATTGCATGCAATTATCTTTGTTTTCTTGGGCTATACCATAACTAGCTATTAGGAAGAATGGACACCAATATTAGAAGCCATAATTTTATGACACGTGTCAAAGAAACTGAATATACATGATTTTGTATGTCAAGAGAAATAATTGTCTCTATGACAAGAAGAAGAAGAAGAACAAAGCCTCTATCCCAAGTTTTTGAGGCCACCTACATGAATCCTTTTTCAATTTATTTCTGGCTATCTCCTCTGTTAAATTAACTAGTGTCACATCCTTCTTAATTGCTTGTGGGTAAGTCTTAATTAAGCTTGTCTTTACTCCTTGTCCTGCTAACTATGTTTTTTTGAAAACTGGTGTGTTTATAGGCCTCAACATGATCAGATCATTTCAATAGGTTCTATCTGTATAACATTAGTTCTTGCCATTTCAACAGAAGTTTATCCACTTGCGGAAAAATTGGTTGAACAGCTGGCAAATTCCAGTTGCTAGACAGACTCTTAACCTTGCTACATGTGCAGAAGCCCAAAGTATGTACTAGTTTTTTCTCTCGTGTATTCATGAATTTCAACTAATAATAATGACAATCAGGCCTTTTCAGGTTCTCATTTTCTCAATGGACTAAAGTCTTGATAGTAATTGAACATTACATTGGAAGAAGGTTATTGAAACTTTTTGATTGATGATAGTGTTAAAACTGGACGAAAGAAGAGGCAGGTAAGGACTTCCATATTCTCTTTCATATTGAGTAATTTTAATTTGTAGTCTAAATTTGCACGGTTGTTTTCTTTTCTATTCATGAACAATTCTAACCTATTTCTGATGACAACCCTCTAGATCTTGCTCAAAACACTTTGGTACAGATGGTAAGGTTATGTGCCAACGTGAACAATAGTGTGGTCCTAGAGTAAGCTTCAGTGCTCGAAAACTTGTATTTAAATTTGAAAATATGATGTGCTAAGAGACATAATCATAGAGTATATCCTTGATGGACTAGAGATGTTTTCAATTGTAAATGTCAGAGAAAAACTTATGACGGTTAATAAATTTAAACGTATCAGAGAGGAGCTTCATAACTTGTTATGCTTTAAATTTCCTAGGTTGCTGGTTAATAAATTTAAACGTATCAGAGAGGAGCTTCATAACTTGTTATGCTTTAAATTTCCTAGGTTGCTTTTCCAGCCTATGCATAATGCATCCATGCTTAACTCTCCTTGCGTGTTCAGTTGACAAAACAGAAAATTAGGGGAGAGAATGATTTATTCAATACATATATGTATATGCTTTCATTTACAAATACTTCTACTAGTTCAAATCAAAATATCTTATATCTTTGGCTAGATTGTACTAAAATACACTATGTTTCACTCATTTAGCACTTATATCCCCCCAGTTACTTTTCCGGAGCATTTATATACCTTAGAGTTGTTTAAAATTAGCATTTTAGTACCCTTTGTTAGCAAATGTAAAAAAATTCACATGAAAGTTCCCGTATAACATTCACATACTATTTTTAGAGCTTTTTACTCATTAATATTTGTTAACTTCACTGTTGATCCTGCCCAATGTTCTAATATAAACATATCATAATTCCATTTGAAAAATAAAATTTGGATAGATTTAATAGTAAGTTCAGTAAATTTAATAGTTAGAAAGTAATAAAATTAGCATATGAATGTTACAGAAAAAAATTTAGATGAAAATTTTCATGTTTGCATAATAGAGTGTATTAAAGTGCTAATTTTAAACAACTCCGGGTATATAAATGCTTCAAAAACCAACTGAGGGAATATAAGTGCCAAATTAGCAAAGTTAAACATGAGGTATTTTAATGCAACTTAGCCCGTATCTTTTTGCATATATTTCATTTGTGTCACAACAATTTATTTGGCAGTTGCTTTTCATAAGCATGTAACTTTTTATTCTCAGTAACAATAGGTTGGCTATTGGATCAAGACCAAGCATGTGTCCAATAGGATCCTGGGAATGGGACTTCAGTTTTATTAGATTCATTTGCTTGGTGTCAGAGCATTTGTCCTGTCCTCACTAATCTCGTCGGAAAAACTAGTCGCCGACGAGAAAAAGGGCCTCGTTGGTTAGTTGAATCAATTAAATGCCTTAAAGCAGGTTTGCCTAATTAAAATACTTTCTTGGTAAATGGGGTGGAATTAAAATATCAATATGGGTATTTAGCCATTTATTAAGTAGTAGGCAATCTGAGCAATTGAGGATGCAGGAGCTCGCCAAAGAAATTAAGAAATGGTTATGAAATTGGTTCTATGTTATAGGAGGATAAATGCAAAAGAAACGAGACTCGATCTCTTTATGTTATTTTTCTTTTGAAACATCTAAGCAAGGTGAGATACCATGCTCATGAATATAT